GCAGCTAGTGGGTTCTACACACAGGTGAGTGTGGAATACATCACGTTTTCTGTTTGAATATTTTGCCTTGTGTCTTTGCCTTTATGCTGAATGCATGTAGGTCCTTCTAGTAGCATGGTCACTTGCTAAATTTAGTATGCTGCTTCTAGTTGTTGCTTATGTTCTATGCTTCAGAACAGATAAGCTCCCACAGTGCACGGATCAGTTGCTTAATGCATAAGGATGAGGAAAGCAGGGGAGAAATCCATCTAAAAATGATAAAAACCTATCCTTTTCGGTATATGCAACCATTCCTGTTAAAAGCCAAACAATTATCCTTTGGCAGCATTTTACGCTTTCAATGGAAGCACTTTGCTATGGAAGTGGCACAGTGTTCCTAATGAGATAAGGCTTCTAATGTTTTCTTTTTTTTCTTTTTTTTTTTTGTTTTAATTCTGTGAACTGGATCTTGTATATCAAGTTTATATTTAGAACAAGGGGCCAGATGCATCCTGTAGGGGTCCAATCTGGCACCGGAGATTGGTGGCACAGTACTGGGTTGTCCTGCCCATCTCCTCTGCACTGTTTCCCTCTGCTGTGGAACCTGCTGGTCCATTGTACCTACACTTACACTCTCTACAGAGGGAGTGGAGATTAGTGGCAAGGGTAAGTGTAGGCAGCTGGGTGTTTTGGGGCGGGGGAGCGGAGAGGGAGAGATTTGTGGTCTGCGGTGGAGGCTGGGTCACAAAGGGTGGTTTGCAGGGTCAAAAGGTTGCTGGGCCCTCCTTTAGAAAGATTAAATTAAGTGGCTAGCTTGGAGAATGACATAGGAGGAGTTATGATCAATTTGAAAAAGGCACTGACCTTAAGCTGCTTTTCATAATTCTAACTGTCGATATTTTAACATTTTTGTTACCTAGCTTACTGCTGTTTTAATAAAGCTAGTGATTTTGAAATTCCTAGCATTATTCCAGCACCTTTTTTTTTGAAAATGGGTTCAACAAGAATCAAATTACAGTTCTGTTGTAGAGTCCCACCTTAAATGAAACATCCTCTCTCCTATCAAAAATCACCATGTCTTGTGTAATACAGGCAGTCCACGTCTTAAGTCAGAACTTTGTAACTCGGAACTCTTATTCTCATAAGAAACAGTATTATAAAAGGGGGGATTGGTTCCTGAACCAAGGCCCGATACCCTATTTTCATTAAAAAGACCCCAGAATTTTGTACTCGATCAATTATAGATGAGTAATGTAGTTATATTAGTGTATTTATATTGTAAATAGCAATCATATTGATTTGGAAGGACTTCTTTGAGGTGACTTTGCTGGACTGAAAGGCTCTTGGTTGGACTTTTTGAAGGGTTCTTGGCTGGAGTCTTCCCAGTAGTCTTGGCTGCAGGTTTTTCTGGAGTCCTGTCTGCTTTCTTAAAGTGTCCAAGAAAGTTTGGACAGATGTTCTCCAGGGAGATGAGTGATGCATCGAACTTGTTTGCTGGCTTTGTGTCGTGTAGGATCAAGCGTTGCAAAGTTGAAACTGATGTCATAAAGTTGAAATGGGGTGTCAATTTATAAACATTGTAAGTGCAAAACATTGCAACTTAAAATATTGTAAGTTGACGACTGCCTGTATTAATATGGTGCTGATGAGAGCTCCTTTTGAATTGCTAATATTCAGTGAGCTTGAGTAAGTTTTTTAAACAAGGAAAGGTTACTTTCCGATCTAATCCAAGGTACCTAAAAAGTCACTTTCAGCTCAGTAAGCAAGCTTTGGTATCTAATCTGCCTCATACCAAGTTTTACATAAAATGCGTCCACTTTTGACTTAACTTGCTTCATCTGACATTTTAATTTCAGTTTGATCCCATCATATTGCTAGCTTTTCCCCTTTGCATCCATCACACTCTTTTTGCCCCCCCTCCACAAACTGGGTAAAGTCCAAGAGTAGTTTGATTCTTTTTTTTTTTTTTTTTGCGTGGAGGGTGTGGAGGACTGTCATTTTTGTGGAGGGTTATCTTTTTTTTACTTGACACAATCTAATGGCTTAAAGTCAACCAAACTGCTTTTCTTAGAATCAGCTGCAGTGGGTATTGCCAGAACTAAAAATATATATAAATGGTTGTCTGACTGAATTTTTTTCTTCTTTGGTTTAGTTAGCTTGCAGTTGGATCATGACACAGCTCAACACCCAAAATAGAGCAACTTTATTAGCTATATTAGGTCTGGTTATCTTCTAAAGCAGGGCAGCCTTAAGGTTTTTCCTGCACACGAATATGAAACAGCTTGAGTTTGGTTTCTGAAAAGAGGAGTCCTGTTTCAGCTGTTTTTAAGACATCTTTGAAATTCAGTGATTATGATAGGAGAAACTCTCCTGACCACTGATGTTGAGTCTTGGGATGTCATTTAATTGAATTGGCCAACTTCTCATAATCTAAGAATTTATAATTGAGGCTTAGCTGGTATTTTACTGGTGGCTTTACTGTTGTCCATGTTGGTCACATACTGTGGTACCATAGTCTGTTTGTCTTACTCTGTTTCACTGCTAATTTTTTTTGTTTTTAATTTGAAGACTTAGTCCATGGTACCTAAAAAGCAAAGACTAATGATACAAAAAGTGTGACTCCTGTATAGATGGTATCTTTAAAAGGGAGAGAGTGAGCACAGTCTATAATGCTGCATTTTGAAACGTGAAGTTTCCCTCCTAACCAGGCTTTTGAATTATCAGAGAGTGCCTCAAACTAGAACATTTCCACTTTTCTTTCGTTAATCCTGTAAGATTTTTTATACTCTAGTTGAGCAAAAATGGAAAATAATAATATATTCACATTTATAATAATATATTCACATTTTTGTAATGTCTCTGTAAATTTTAGTAAATAAGGGCACTTAGTGGTTCCCCTGGCATCTCATTCTGACCTTCCCAGTGGGCAAAGCTTTAAAGAGTACTCTGACATTGCTTCTGTTCATTTGGGGGAGGCAACTAAAGCTTTTTGGAAAAGTTTCTTCTGGGGACTGATTCTTTCAGCACCTCAATGCTTTTAATATTTTATATGCTGCTGTCATGTCTAGACAATTGATAGAGGCTTGTATCACCTCTCGGTCCCGGATAACTTCCTATAGAGTGACACCTGTACTTTTCTAGAGTCAAGTTAGTCCTCCTTGTAGGTGTCTATCAGACGGTCACATTTAAAAAAAATCAGGGGTATGTATTATTAGTAAAATAACTACAGGTCCCTCTTGTGCTTTCTATTTGCCTTTATCCAAGAACAATACCATCCTTTTATAAGTTTGCTATGATCTGTGACCCTTTGCCTTTCCAGGTGGAAACTATGCAGTGGTCAACATTATGGGTTTTGACAAATGTTACTTTTATAACGTTTTAACTGCTGTTTTAGCATAGCAAATAGCCTGTGGCCACTTAAAGTAACAGCATCTATGTCTCAGGAAGGTTTTTATGACAGACTTTAACATGTGAACAAGTATTCCTGTCCCTCAGTGCTCCTTCTTCCAAGAGAGATGGAGGGAGAGTAGCTAGCTCCCTGACAGACTGCCCAGCAGCCAGCTGGCGGGGAACCCTGTCGGGATTTGCTTGCAGGCAGCTCTGTCATCCTTGTTGATAGGCAGTAAGGGTGACAGGACTGCCTGCAAGCAGTAGTGGCAGGGGCTGATTAGGGGTCTTCCCCCACCCCCGATCAGCCCCTGTTCCTGTTGGAAGCTCACAGCTCACTCTTGTTACCCTTGCTGCCAGGTGACAAGAGTAAATGAACATACTTGGAAGCATTCATGGCAGCAGGGTCCGAATGCCAGCAGCTCATTAAAGCACTGAGAACTTTAAAGGGGCAGCACCCGGAGCCCTCTAAAGCTTGCAGGGAGCCAGGGATGAGGGGCCTTTCTGCAAATGGAGACATCAGGGGCTGATTGGGGGTGGGGATCTACCACCAATCAGCCCTTGCCACTCTAGGCTACTGTTATACAGCCCTGTCACTGTTGTCACAGGGCTGCAACAGTGGCAGGGGCTGCTCGGGCAGTGGAGACTGCCCAAATCACCCTTACCTATGTGGGTAACTTGGGAGCAGCCGTTTGCTTTTGCCAAACTTTATAGCACTAGAAAATGTGTCCAGACTCCAACCCAAGAACCAAGTGGAACAAGTTGTCTTTTTTTCCTGTTAAGCCAAGAAAGGAATAGTTTTTACCTGTCCAGCAATATGTTCAGTTTTTTTATCTTTCTTGGGTGATGTGGATTGTGACTTCAGGGATTAGGATCTTTTGCCCTGGAGAAAGGTTAGGCAGTGCATTGCCAGCTATTAAGGAGATACTGTTCCTGTAATTGACTGACTCTTAAACCTTGCTAAGATGCTGTGGCCTAAGTCAGGCATTTTATAAGCAGCTACTCAGACAAATTTAGGTCTTGGGTATGACTGTAAACTACGTCTGACTGGAGGCCTTGGTGGCAGTGTAGTGGGGCTATTCGTAATGGAAGACCATACCAATTACCTTCAGTGCAAGTTGACCCTTACTTACTTGTCTTCAATTGTCTGTCTGAGACGAAAGATAGTTTTTTTTCCTTTAAAAATAAAATCTGGGAAAGTGAGTGGGAGAACATTCCTTGTAGTTCTCCCCAATATTTAGTTACCAGGCTGTCTAGATATTTTCATTACTAGTAAAACAATGCTTCCCAGTTTGAGAGCTTCTGCCAAAACTGTATGGGCAACATTTTGAAAGCATTAACTTGGGTAAAGCTCAGTCTGTCCTTAAATTCACTTTTGTTGCATTTAACTGAGTAGCTGTTTCATTTTTCTTTGAGATGCTTGTGCCTTTGGAGCTTGATCCCTGCACCAGTTTTTGCTGGTCTGGCAACCAAGTCAAATGTTTAAGTTTTAGAACAAATAACTTCAATTTTCATGTCTCTTTCTGACCCTAATCTTCACAACTTAACTGAGGATCCTTCCAAACTGAAGTTAGGAAGTGCCTTCTCTTTTGTTGAGAGGGCAGATCTCTTCCTGGAAGAAGCTGAGTTCATTTCCCATTGTTGTCACACTCTAAAAACAGGAAGCTGTCTCATCTTGGCATAAGAAATGAAGTGAGTGTTTCTCCATTTAATTTCTGTTTAGTCACTTATAAAGGTGACCTGCATATTGGAAAACATAGTGCCTATTTTTTTGTCCTCTTGTGAAGACTTGAGACACGGAGAATATACACACTCATTCTATCATATAATGGGCACTTTCTTAACCTTTTTAACTGGAAAGATAAAAGATGTTTTAAAGGATATAGTTAATATTCATCTCTGTCCATCCAGTTGTATTAAAATTCCTTCCTTCTCTCCCCTCTCAATTGTCCAGTTCAACTGCCTGTGGCAGTAGAATATAAGGATGCTAAACTTTTGTCTAAGTCACATTCCATTCTTCCCCTGTTGAGCAAAATGCTCCCTGCCAGCCCAAAGTTTCACTTAGTGATCAAGGAATTTTTTTTCTCCATTAATTTCAATAATGGTACCTTTTTTTTTTTTTTTTAAGAGGCCAGTGAGCTACAGATCAAATTATGTGTATTTGTAGACTTTCTGTTGAAGGCAAAAAGTCAGTTTAAGGAACCTGTCTTTCAAGTCTATTTCTTGGTCTTTTTGGACCAGTCCAGAGGTGACTCACTATGATTGTAAACTGACAGGATAGAACACAATGTTTTAAGCCAGGAGTGTTAAACTCATCCAGTCCTGCAGGCCAAATGAGTGGAAAGGGCCAGTCTATGGGCTGGATTAAGCACATGGACTTCCTTCCGTTCCCTGTCCCCCAGCATATCGGATCTGGCAGCCTCTGTAGCCAGCATGGATCCCGGTGTGTCTAGAACAGGTGCTGCGTGTGGCGCAGTCTGACTGCGGGTGTGTAACACAGATCCCAGACTGGCTAGAGGGGGCGCTGTGCTACACCTCGTGTCCACCCCAGCTGGACAGCACTACCACCACACTGCAGACAGCATGTGTCCCAGACTGGCTGGAGCAGGCACCATGTGTGGCACAATCCCAGAGCTGCCAGGTCAGGTGCAGTGTGCAGCGTGCATCCTAGAGCAGGCACCATGTGTGGCATAGTCTAACTGGGGTGGGCACCACTTGTAGCATAGCACCCAGATCCTGTATGCTGGGGGAGAGAGAAGGGGGTCTGATCCAGCCTGTATACCTACCCCATGCTGTGCCCTGTGTGGGTCTGCTCTGACCCAGGGACAGTACTGGGTGCCAGATGATGGGGCTCCATAAGCTGTATGTTTGATGCCAGTGATAAGCTACTTAGACTTAACATGTTTTTTCTTACAGTCTGTAGTGGTGTTGTGTACTTCTGTAAGACTTCATTCTGTAACTTGAAAATTTTGTGGCTGCCTATTTTTATAGACTTGGTATTGTAATATAGAGTAACTCTGTGCTTCTTAGTTTCATAGTTGGTAGGGCCGGAAGGAACCTAAGCAGATCATCTAGTCTGACCCCCTGCCATGGGCAGGAAAGGATGCTGGGGTCAAATGACCCCAGCTAACTGGCTGTCTAGCCTCCTTTTGAAGACCCCCAGGGTAGGGGTGAGCACAACTTCCCTTGGAAGTTGGTTCCAGCTCCTAGCTGCCTTGACAGTGAAGTAGTGCCTCCTGATATCTAGCCTGAATCTACTTTCAGTTAACTTATGGCTGTTGTTCCTTGTTATCCCCGATAGTGCTCGGGGGAACAGGGACTCTCCCATTGTCTGCTGGTCTCCCTTGGCCAGTTTGTAGATGGCCACCAGGTCCCCTCTCAGCCTTCTCTTGTGGAGGCTGAACAGGTTCAGATCCCATAGCCTCTCCTTATAGGGCCTGCCCTGCTGCCCCCTGATCATGTGAGTGGCCCTCCTCTGGACCCTCTAGATGCTGTCCACATCCCTCCTGAAGTGCAGCGCCCGGAACTGGACACAGTACTCCAATTGCAGCCTGACCAATGTCACATAGAGGGGGAGGATCATGTCCTTGGACCTGCTCGTGATCTATCTATGGATGCATGACAAAGTACGGTTAGCCTTCCTGACCGCGTCTCCACATTGGCGGCCCATGTTCATCTTGGAATCAGTAGTTATTCCAAGATCCTTCTCTGCCTCTGTGTTGACGAGAAGGGAGTTCCCCAGTCTGTAGGTATGCTGCTGGTTCTTCCTCCCCAGGTGCAACACCTTGCACTTGTCCATATTGAAACCCATCCTATTCTCATCCGCCCACCTCTGTAACCTGTCGAGATCTAGTTGTAGCCTGTCCCTCTCTTGTAGCGTGCTCACTTCTCCCCACATCTTAGTATTATCTGTGAACTTAACAAGGTGCTTTTCACCCCCTTGTCCAAATCGCTGATGAAGATATTGAACAGTGTGGGCCCAAGCCCTGGGGAATCCCGCTACCCACATCTCTCCTAGTCGAAAATGACCCGTCCACCACCACTCTCTGGGTGCAGCCCTCCAGCCAATTTATGACCTATCTGACTGTGTAGGTGTCGTCACCACAGACGCCTAATTTTTTAAATGAGGATGGGGTGAGAAATGGTGTCCAAGGCCTTCCTAAAGTTCAGGAAGACTACGTCCACTGTGACATCTGCATCCAAGGCTTTTGTGACCTGGTCATAGAAGGCCACAAGGTTGGTCTGACAGGACCTGCCTCCAATGAACCCATGTTGATTGCCCCTAAGCATAAGCTCCCCTACTGGTCCCTTGCAGATGTGCTCCTGGATAACTTTCTCAAAGAGCTTCCCCAGGACCAAGGTAAGACTAATGGGCCTATAGTTTCCTGGGTCCTTTTTCCTCCCCTCTTTTGAAAATGGGGACCACATTGTCCCTTTTTCAGTCGTCGGGCACCTCACCAGAGCACCACGAGTGCTCATCAAGCTGTGGCAGGGGTCCTGCAATGACCTTTGCAAATTCCGTAAGCACTCTGGGGTGGAGATCATTAGGACCTGCTGATCTGAACACATTTAGTCCCTCCAGAAGTTCCCTGACTAGGTCCTCACTGACCCTGGGCCTGGCTGTGCCTCCCCTGGATCTGTCTTTAATCCCAGTGGGGAGGATGTCCCTGTCCCTGCTCAGAAAAATGGAAGCAAAGAATCTGTTAAACAGATTACCTTTGTCATCTGGTACTACCACCAGATTACCAAGCATGTCCTGCAGAGGTCCCACATAATTTAGCACCTTCTTTTTACCCCCTATGTATTTAAAAAAGGACTTGTTATCTTTGATCTGGGTCGCTAGTCCCAGTTCCATCTCTGCCTTAGCCTTCCTAATAGCCCCCCTACCATCTTGAGCCAAGCAGGTATAATCCTCCTTGGTGATGGGCCCCTCCCTTCCATTGGGTGTATGCCTTCTTTTTGGTTTTGAGGCATTCGTGGATGCTTTTGGTGAGCCATGGGGGCTTTTGAGCACTCTTGCCCCTTTGATCCGCGTGGGGATTGTCATGCTTTGGGCTTGGGCTTGGAAGATTCTGTGAATCTTTTATATAACTTCCCTCTGGAATTACAGATTTGAGCAGGAAACTAAGCCAGCAACCAGAGTTCTCAGAATAATAAAAATTATCATCTCAGATAGGCATGTGTCCTCTATCTCTAATTTATCATAGCTGACTGGTGGAGGGTATAGTGCTGACTATGCTGCTTTTATTGAGGTATCCATTATGTTGGGGTTCAGAGTTGCAAAGCAGGTGTGCAACTGGATTTTTTTTGTGGAGGTGATGCACTCAAACTCAAAGGCACATGTTAGTAACCACACCCTTCACAATAGTATTTGTGTACTGTTACCCTGAGGCTTTGATGACTATCTCTGACTTTTCTATTAAAATAGGCCTTTTCTTCTAGTTATTACAGGAGCTGTGCACAGTATTTAATGTAGACTTACCCTGTCGTGTGAAGTCCTCCCAGCTTGGAATTATCAGCAATAAACAGATGCACACTAGTGCCATTGTGAAGCCACAGTCTAGCTCCTGCTCTTACATCTGCCAGCACTGCCTTGTCCACCTTGGAGACATTGGTGAGTTTTTGAAGCAATGGGAGTTTCCATCCTGCCTTGTTATGCCGTAATTACAGAAAAGAATCAGAGTCCAATCCATACAGCTGCTAAACCTGCTATTCTGCTCCTAGTCATAGACTGGTGGTTTGTACAGGTAAGAAGGTTTGAAGTTTATGATGCTGGGAGTGATGCTTTGAATTCATTGTATTTGCACTAAATACATGTGATGCAATAAAACAACTTTCTAAATTTGCTTAGACTTGTATTTGCATTGGGAAGAGCCTTTTTTATTGTGGAAATTCAGAGAAAAGGGGAAACTTATTTAAACTGTAAGAGCTATTACAAGAATGTATTGCAGGAAGATGGCACACTTAGCAGGCATTCATATCAGAGGATGACTCTGTAAAACCCTTCCTTTCAAGAACACAGCCAAAAATACAATTCTTTGTAACCCAGGCTTTTATTTTGCATTCAAGAGTTAAGTTCATCAAGTCTATTTCTTCTGCTTACTGACTTAAATAATCCACACTAAATGAATTTTATGCTTCGGGGCAACCAGTACGGGCCTTCTATGACCAGGTCACCAAATCTTTAGATGCAGGGGTAGCAGTGGACGTAGTCTTTCTGGACTTTAGAAGGCCTTTGACATTGTCTCGCCCCATTCTCATTAAAAAACTGGGGGACTGTGGTGTCGACACCTACATAGTCAAATGGGTCGCTAACTGGCTGGAGAGCCACACCCAGAGAGTGGTGGTGGACAGGTCATTTTTGACCTGGAGGGATGTGGGCAGTGGGGCTCCGCATGGCTTGGTCCTCGTGCCCACACTGTTCAAGATCTTCATCAGTGACTTGGACGAGGGGGTAAAAAACACTCTGTTCAAATTTGCTGGTAACGCTAAGATGTGGGGGGATGTGGGCATGCTAGAAGGGAGGAATAGGCTGCAAAATCAGACCTAGACAGGTTTCAGGGGTGGGCGGATGAGAATAGGATGGGATTCAACACTGACAAGTGCAAGGTGATGCACCTGGGGAGGAAGAACCAGCAGCATACCTACAGGCTGGGGAGCTCCCTTCTTGTCAGTGCAGAGGCAGAAAAGGATCTTGGAATCATCATTGATGCCAAGATGAACGTGGGCCAGCAGTGTTGGAATGCAGTCAGGAAGGCCAACCGTACCTTGCTATGCATCCACAGATGCATCTCACGCAGGTCCAAGGAGGTGATCCTCCCCCTCTGTGCGACACTGGTTAGGCTGCAGCCAGAGTACTGCGTCCAGTTCTGGGCGCCACACTTTAGGAGGGATGTGGACAACTTGGAGACGGTCCAGAGGAGGGCCACTCGCATGATCAGGGGGCAGCAGGGCAGGCCTTATGAGGAGAGGCTAAAGGACCTGAACCTGTTCAGCCTCCAGAAGAGAAGGCTGAGGAGGGATCTAGTGGCCTGTTACAAACTAGTCAGAGGGGACGAGCAGGCACTGGGGGAGTCCCTGTTCTCCCGAGCACTACCAGGAGTGACTAGAAATAACAGTCACAAGCTGGCAGAGGGTAGACTCAGATTAGACATCAGGAGGCGCTACTTCACTGTCAGAGCGGCTAGGATCTGGAACCTACTTCCAAGCGAAGTGGTGCTGGCTCCTACCTTGGGGGTCTTTAAGACAAGGCTAGACAAACACCTTGCTGGGTGCAGTTGCTATGAAACTGTGAATTTTTGTAGGTGACATTTATTTCAAAGGCACCTTGCTTTAAAACAAACTGGAGTTAGTTTCAAGCACTGTGGGTATTGTAAATAGCAAGATGTGAAACATTTCAGTGAGAGCTAGTGAACCCTGAAATTGGGACGTGACAGGAGGAGGAAAGGCAAACTTAAAATCAATCTATGCATTCAATATTACTTTACTTTATTTGGGGGACATCTTATAACTCAATTGTTTATTTCTAAAGTAATTACAGGATATTTATTTTTCAAACAAGCTGTTTTTGCAATCGTTGGAATTTTAATACACTGAAATATTGCTGTCTAAGCATGCTTACTCTTGTGTTTTTAGCTCGCTACAGAAATCAAACCAGCCAGGCAGAATCCTACTATAGGCATGCAGCTCAGCTTGTCCCCTCCAATGGTGAGTAGGTGTAATACCTGTGGGTTGACCATCCCAAACTGGAATTTTGTTTGTTTGCTTTATTCCCTGTAGAAGCTAGAGAAAAATCCATGATCTTGACTACAACAAATAAAATCCCAACTAACTTTGAGATCACAGTATTTCAGTAAAACATTTGATAATTCATGGTTTGTTTATCTGTGTGCTTTATAGTTCTCTCTCACATTTTTGTAAAGATTTAGTTGAAATGAAGGTATTGCATTAAAGTTTTATAGTACCAAGACTTCATTACAGCTGTAGTATACCATGCTCATCTATGCTTTTTCTATGAATCATCATAAATAGTGATAGCTTATTTTTACTTTGTTTAACAGTCTGTTCATTTACTAGTGTACAAAACTCAGTCATTTTTAGTGGGTTTCCAAGTTGCCACCTACAAGCTTGATTTTAATTCTTTAGATCAGGCATCTGAATTTTTTTCCCTTTTAAACTCTTTTATATCAGTATTATGGTCCCAGTTCTAGGTATAGCAAATAGGATAACCATTTCCATTGCTGCAGGTTGCTCTATAATGAAAATGCAAATTACTTTCATGAGCCGCATATGTCAGGACTTGGCCACTGTAGTAACTTTCTGAAGCTGACTTGTGAAATCTTAAGCCAAAAAAGACAGCTGTATTTTTAATATATTTTTCACCTTTGTGGTGATAAGCATGTATAAATAATTTTGATTTCCCTATGATACTATATTAAGTAGTCGCTGCCAGAAAGACTGGTTGAATTCTGTCTAAAAACTCTAATATAATCCATTTTACATTATAAGCTATAATGCATTTTAACTTCTAGCAGTTACTGACAGTTATGGTAGAGGTAAAAGCCTTGCTTTTCTTTAAGAGTACCTACCTACTTAGGCAAAATTCTATTAAGTATTTTGCATCTGTTTCCTATCTAATTTATTAATAACATGTATATACTATACATTCTGCAGCTTATGAACAGTCATATTGAACAGGAGCTAAGTGACTAGTTTGGCTTATAAATCTAAATCTCTTCTGTTGAAAGGTTTATAGGATTTTAATGAAAGAGTACTCCCTCTGAAACGTACTGGATTTAGTCTGAAATGCAAAGTCTCTTGCCTAGACCAGAAAGAGAAACTTGAGTTTGATGAAATGAGCTCTTCACTCCATGAGACTTTCATCCTCTTCTCCCCTAGGTCAGCCTTACAATCAGTTGGCTATTTTAGCTTCCTCCAAAGGAGACCACTTGACCACAATTTTCTACTACTGCAGAAGCATTGCTGTGAAGTTCCCTTTTCCAGCTGCCTCCACTAATCTACAGAAAGCACTTTCTAAAGCACTGGAAAGGTGAGACTGATCTCTTCTAGTAAGTTGCTAGCTAATCGTGACTAAAACTGACTTCGCCTCTGTACAGGCAAGCACATTTCCTCTTTTGGTGTCTGATATTTGCCAGAGAATATCCATAGTACGTGAGGGTGGAAGCAGAGTAGGAAATCCTTGACCATAGCTTAGCCACATCCTTCTTAGGTATCCACTGAACAGAGGAGGATCTGTATTTAAGATACTATTGTGTGGGAGCAGTATTTGGAGCATGCACACTGAATTACATACCCTTACATTAGTGTGGGAGGGGCACTTGGTTCTTCTTAGGCCTGTCCTTTCTCAGAGTCAAGGATGTAGCTTTTAGCATTTGTTCTGCAGGGAAGGTCCTTAGTCTGTGCATCTGTGTCTAGTTGCAAAGATTGAAGCCAGCTATTTCTCCTCAAACTGTAGTCGTGATGAGGTGAAGACTCGATGGAGTGTGTCTGACTTCATCAAGGCATTTATTAAGTTCCATGGCCATGTATACCTGAGTAAAAGCTTGGAGAAGCTGAGCCCTCTTCGAGAAAAGCTGGAGGAACAATTCAAGGTTAGTATACAAAAAAGGTATTTTTCTAAGTTAATACAGTAGAAAAATGTATTTAAATATGAGTTTTCTTAAACTATAGGTCAAGGGATGAGTGCAACTTACCAGAATAGAGCAAATTAGCATAACATGACAACAGCAAGCAGGCTGCAGAACTTTTGATGTGGAGGTTAATGGTCTACTGTCCATCTGCACAGATGAGTTGCCCTTCCCTCTTCCCCAATTTGATTTACATAACCATAGTGTGGTGTAGGGTTAGACAAGGAGATCAAGGAGGAAAAGTTACATTCACTTGCTGGTTAAAATAGAGACTGTACTCTGAGTATGGAGTGCCATATTAAATTGTACTTTTACCTGGATCACCCGAGAAGGTTTGCATTTACCATATTTCACAGTGTATATGTTGACATAGTGTATAACTTGACCCCAAGTTTATTTTTTTTATCAAAGAAGTTAGGTTTTTTTATATATCCAGCGTATAAGTCCATCTTTACTTTGATCTTCATCACAAAAAAAAAAAAGGATCAGGCCCTCGCATGCTGGGGGGCTCTAGAGAAGCTGGATCAGGCCCCTAAGAGCTTGGGCAGCACCCGGCCCACTGGCAGCCCCTCTGGCCAGGCCTCCCTGCAGTTCAGGGGCTCAGCTCAACCCCTAATTGTGTGTGGGTGGAGGGGAGGGGAAGGGGCAGGCAGACTCTGCTGGAAGCAGAATTGGGCCCCTCGCCACTTCTACCTTCAGGAGCCTCCTGCAGCTGACAGGCATGCCTGGCGTCACCTGGGAAGGAGCTGCCTTGCTCTCTGGGGGAGCGGAGAGGCTAGGGTTGTCAGTCAGGGCTGGCCTTCCCCACCCACCTCCCTCACCTGCTTGACATCCTGCACTGCCCATGGGACAAGGCAGCCCCTTCCCAGACCACAGAAGCTTGCTGAAGGCGGAAGTGTCTAGGAGCCCATTCCTTAATTTGATGGAGCCTGCCTTCCCCTCCCCCCCGCACGACTGAGTCAAGCTGCTGGCAGGCTAGGCAGTCTTTAAGCTGTGGTGTGGGGGGGTCCTTCTCTCCATGGTGGTGGCATCCCCCAGGGCTGCATGCTGCCTGAGCTCCCAGGGGCCAGATCCAACTTCCCCAGAGCCTGGATACAGTGTTGTATAAGTTGAGGTGGAAAATTAAGGGAAAATATTTTGGGCTCAAACCTTGACTTGTACACCATGAAAGACCGTTAAAAAAAAAAAAAAAAGACAACTTCTTCCAAATACTGCTTCTTTATGTGAGCGAGAAATCTGTTCTGAAAGGCTTCAGAACAGAACTTCCTCTTTTGGATGATCAGCATTTTCTCTTAATTGAAGCTGCCTTTAACCCATCCTAAAACTGCCTTCTTCTCTTGGTAGCAAAATTTATACTTGGATGCAGCGTCCTGTTACTGACTTCAGTTTGTGCATGGAGTAGAACCATTCGAAACTGAGGTCTCCTCTGCAAAATCTGTGTAGAGCAGGGTTGTTTAACCCCCAGCCCATGAGCCAGATCTGGACCCCAGCACCTTGTCATCCAGTTCTTGGGGCTTCCCATGGGCTGTGGCCCTGCAAACTAGGTTGGGTGCTCAGGGTCCATTTGCAGCATGCAGGAGCGGCACAGAGCCCCTGGAGCCTGATCCCAGCACATGGGACTCTGGGTGGAGGCAGCTTGGGACCCTGGGAGCCTGATTGTGGTGTGTGGGACAAGGCAGAGGTGGCACAAGGCCCCTGGAGACTGACCTCCATGCACAGGGCCAGGCAGGGGCAGTGTGGGGAGCCCAATCCCAGCACATGGGACAAAGCAGAGATGGTGCAGAGCCCTAGAGCCAGATCCTGCATGCAGGACTGGGAGGAAGTAGTGCCAGGTCTCAGAGCCTGCATATGGGACCTGCACAGGAGACCAGGCAGGGGTAGTGCAGGATCCCAGAGCCCTATCCAGCTATTGGACTGGCCCCAAGCTCTTCATTTGGCCTTCAGGGTCAAAAGGTTGAGCACCACTAGTTTAGAGTGATCATTTAATTAAGCTCATTAGCTTAAATCTGTACTACATTCTCTCTCAAACAGATGACATGTTTAATATTTACTTCAGATAGTGCAAGCTAGCAAAGAAAAAATACTGTTCATCTCTCACATAACTGCATTAACTCTACCAGCTGCATTATTTGAAGAGGATGGGCGGGTAACTAGGCTGGGCTTAAGGTTCCCTCAAACTATGACAGCAGGGTTTTTTCAAAATGGGAGAGAAGCATGCTAAAAAAGTAGGTTTTTGTTTTTTTGTTTTTGGTTTTTTTGTGCTACTTGTAGAAAGTGTGGATCAGAATTCGGTATAAGCAGCTTCTGAAATACTTGAGATCTGGAAGTGACGGAACTTGATGTTTAATGAGCTCCAGTGTTTTAAGTGCAATTCTCAATTTGCAATCGGCTCTAAAAGTATTTCTGTTTGGAGAATTGTGTTTTAATTGTTTTTTCTAATAGTATTTTGTTTTGCATCTCTGGTTCTTTTTCCTAATGTTAACCTCTCTGTGAGTGTTAATTTCCAAAATGCTTATTAGTAATCATGTACAGTCATAAGCAGATCTAGTATT